TTAAGAAGTCTTATCCACAAGTGATCCTTTTTGTTGTAATGTCTTTTGATCTATTGACCGTTCTAGCCAATTGACAAGATGTGGTGTCCTCTATATGTGGATCCAAGTTTCATCTCCATTCGGTACCGAAATGACTTTCTAATTTTGTCAATTTTCTTTCTTGCCCAAGTCCCACCCAAGGTTTAGAAATCCACCTATTCTTGCCAAAGTGGTAAGAGCTTGGCAAACTTGTCATGGAGAGAATCACTTTAAGATCTTTTGTGACCGTGACCCTATCGGTTTAGCATTCACCCTTTCCATTTTGTCAAACTTTATCCAATTCGCCAAGGGAAATCTTTGTGAGGTGGTAAGTTGGCATGGAGTGTGAGGTGACGGTGCTGCACCATGGATTTTTATCCAATTCGCTTAGTGTGGACCGCACATGGAGTTGCAAACCAAGTTGCAAACCAAGGCAGTAAAATGGAAAGGTACTCTATGTTTTGGAGAAAGTTTGGAGCAAGTGGTCAAGATCGATGTCTTCACACCTGATCCGGTGGATGGAGCTTCTCTTTCAAAGTTGATGCATAATCCTGTTGCCTTACCAAAAGTTTCCAAGATTATTTTGGTGGCTTGTCACTCCTCCCTCGTTGAACCCATAAAGGTTGCGGCATCATCCGCATACATAGATGTCCAAAACCTAGCACTACAAAGCGGTAGCGCTATGAGAATACCTTGTTTGGGTTGTGAGTTCTAGAAGTCGTTGTAGTGGGTCCCTGACGAAAATGAAGAGCATAAGCGAGAGGGGTCTCCCTGGTGCATGCCTCGTCCATGCCTGAAAGTTGGGCCACTATGACATTCAGTTGGCTCAAGTGATGTGAGATTGTGGGGGTTTAGTAGTCCCACCTTAGTTATTGGGTAAGTTAAACCAACATATAAGGCTTATAGAATCCATACCATGATCCCTAAGTTAACCCTTTTACATAAAGTGATGACGAAACCATAAGTGGGTCTAGACTCTGGGGCGTGACACCCTTGTTGTATGTTAAGAAATGCTTTAGAGTTGGCAATATGTGAGAGAGGATTAAAATCCACTCTCGCCACCTTTGGACCAAATCCAAGGGCCTACATGACTTCCAGCAAGTAACTCCAGTTGATAGTGTCAAACGCCTTTTGAATGTCCAGCTTCATAAAAAGTGTTGGAATTTTGGACTTGTGCAATCTTTTAACAATGTTCTACACATATAAGAAATTATTGTAAATATCCCTCTTTTTAATGAAAGCACACTAACAGTAATAGCTATAGCTCATCAAAAGATCTAGATATCTTTTGCTTGAACCTCCTTTGCATAGGCTATTTACTTTTTCTGTATTGGTGAGACAGCTGTAGTGATTTGTTCTCTCTTGAATCCCTGAGTTTGGACTTGGCCTTCACATGTGAAGGTATCAAGAAAGAATAAAGCAATTTCAAGGGTGTATTTTCTTGCATTAATTAGGTTTGCCACTAAGGCATTTTGACCACGTGGCATAGTAACTCATGAGAAGAGATAGACAAATGGTTTCTCCATGAAAAACCATTTTGGCATGTCGCGTAGCATTACCTCGCCAGCCGAGAAAGAGCATGGTTAGCCTCGCTCCACTATTGCACATACGCACTGCATCCCACTGCCACAGGCCTGTTGCCTAGTCGTGCACCGTCCCTTGTGCCACTGTCGCATGCCCCCTCCCTCGTCGAGCCCAGCTTGCATGTGATCGGTAACTCAAGGGCTAGTATTGGGAATCGGTCATGTGTTGTGGCCCCCTTATGGCACCTCCAACGGTGACTTATGAGCTAGCTCTAAACATATCATTTCGTATTTTAATAAAAGAGAGAGAAAATGTATCTCTTGATCAAGAGTTAGTATCATCCACACACTTTGTAATCATGTGAGGTTGTTATGTGGGGCTACTCATATTATGGGCTATATGCTAAAAGTTAATAACATTGGAGATGTTATCTTAGAGTTAGTAACTAACTAATACCATCGAGGGTGCCCTTAGTGTATAAATAGACCAAACCCAAGGGCATCATTGTAATCATATAGGAACATGTCTGTAAAATAGGAGTTTATTTGTAATTTAAGCCCCACTGAGGGAAATATTTGAAATCGACCACCGGCCCAAGGTCATCATTGTAATCATGTAGGGGCATGTCTGTAAAATCTAGGAGTCTATTTATAATTTAAGCCCCACCAAGGGAATATATGAAATCGACCACCTCCTCCCTAAAAAGTGTGGAAAGCACTAGTTGGAAGGGGCTCTCTGCCTACCACCTCCTGTATAAAAGAAGGGTAAGGGATAGGTGAAGGAGACTTAATTCACTTGCTCTCTCTCACTATGCCTCTCTCTGTTGTCTCCTCTCCTAACACCAACGGCAGGTGGTTCTTTAAATCTATGCCTGACAATGGAAAATAGTATGATTCAGTGTTTCAAGCACTACTAGGCCATGTGTTTTACAGTTGTGTTTTGCTATTAACATTGATTTTAAGACAAGTCCATAACAAATGCATTTCTAGATTACATGGCACATAGGGTAGTGATCATGAATATTTTATGATGATGTAGTTATTTTGTTGTACAAATTAGTGTGCAAAATGCAAAGAATATTGCCATACCTAGATAACCTGTAGCCCTTGTCTGCTTATTTAATCGATTGTAATGTGCAACAGGAAAGTTTTTAGCAGAATCGGATGTTCTTAATGTATAGAGCATTTATCAATATACCATTCTAAAGTCTAAACAACATATAAAGGTAATCTAGAGTAGAACCCATTAAGACATCATATGCAGTGAACATACACTCTGGCCTCTTGTTTAGCTCTGAAGTCTGACTTAACAAAAATATTATGAGCATAATGGTTTTTAACAATGGTTTTCAACAAAGTTACTTGAATAGCTAAGCAACACAGGATTATGGTCTTGTTCAGTTATTGGCCAATTTCTGTTCCACTCTTTACGCCTAACAAAAAGGATCTGGATTGAGCATACAAATTAGACAAATTTGACTGAAAAACTATCATTTTTTGGCTGATTTCCAAATCATCTTCATGGCATGTGTTGCATAAATCAGAAAGTAGGATTGTCAATGTGTTGTTTATGTATAGTCCGGTTTTTTTTATCTAGTAACATGCAGTATGTCATACTATTTCAGTTGATGAACATTGCAGTCTTCTTGTTATTTGTAATGTAATCAACCACTAATTGCTGACATGATGCATGGCTTCTGTTTCTTTATGTGCACTGACCCTGTTCACTTCCTCTGCAGCTTCTCTAAGAAGGCCACAGGCAGGAGGGTGAGCTCAAGTCAAAGTCCCTTGCCTCCGCCCGCCCCCCTAGCGTCTCGACTCCCCCGCTCCCATCACACCCCCGGCTCCCCCTGGCGTCCCGACTCCCCCGATCCCCTTGCTCCCCCCGCTCCTCTAGGCGACCTGACAGTGAAAAGAAAGCGATGAGAGAGGTCTCGTAAGATGACCCAATACACTATGGGAGATACATCTGTGTTCGACTTAGTTTAGCTCTACTATGATGTTGGAGAGGCTACTATGATGTACTGTTTCGGTTCTTATGCTGAGTCTACCGTCTGGTTCTCGTTATGCTGGAGTTCTGCCTATGCTTGTCTTGAGGATCTTATGCCGGAGAGTACTGTTCTACTTATAATGTAAATGTTCCTCTTGAGAATGTTTACAATATATGTAGTGCACATGTCAGAGTTATGTGATATTTTAATCCATTTACTTTCCTTTTGAGGAGACAAAATGTAACTTGAAGAGGTGGCCGTGGCCCTATGATTCACCAACGTGGCAGATTTATCACACTATTTATTTTTTTTCTTTGGGTCACATGGACTAGCGCAACCAAAAAGATTAGATATAAAATAAGCAAAGTAGATTATTTGTAAAATATTGATTAAAAAAGTTAAAAAGTCAAAAAAGACACCAAGGATAGTTCATTGAAGTTCCCGTGAGCCTAAATCAAACTTTGAGAAATGAAGAGGGGAAGAACGGACTAGAGATGTTCCTCTTTATTGAAGGTTGAAGACGAGCCTCCTAAATTAAATTTCCAAGTGCGTCCGCCACTGCCCACGTGCTCGCATAAGTACTTCCTGTTTTGTAATCCGTTGTGTGTTGTTGTCTAATAAAGTTGTTACCTACCTAGCCCACTTGTCTGTTTATGCTTGCTTCCAGTTGATTTGATGATCAAAGAAACATCCACTCGTTTCACTTGGAAGGAAGCAGCGTTTTGTATTTACCTTTTGAATAAGCAATGTATTTACGTTTTGAATACGAAAGCCAGCGATTAACGGTGCGGGTCAAGGTAGCAGCCATCGGATTGAGATGCCTACCATCTTTTGCTTATACTAGCTAATCAAGCAAATGTCAACCGCTAATAATGCATTGTTGGACCCACAGCCTACCATCTAATCAAGCAAATGTCAACCGTTAATGCATTGTTGGACCCACAGTATGCTTGCTCATGTTAATCAAGCAAAGCAAAGGTTTGCTCAGGCCACCTGTCTCCCTCAACTCCCACGCTGATGGATTACAGCCTTGCAGCAACGGAAAAAGGAAGGTACCGCACATGAGGGTCAGCATGCTCATGTAATCATTTCTTAGCAACATGGCATAAATGCATAATGATTGTTGGGCGAATCCATCCACTCCTGTGCATCAGTTCAAAGGTACAGCTAGAGATGCACGGAAAGAAAGATTTTTTTTTAAGATTACACAAGAAATGTGAGTCAACACTCACTAGGGAGCACAGCGGCCGTCTAACAATAGGATACAAGCATGTCAAAACCAATGTGATTGGAACCGACTACAGACTACTGGGTACACAATATGCTTGTTTTTTTACATATAAGCCTAGAAACATCATGCGCAAGCCCCCCATACGTCCGCGTAACAATATTGCGTTGAAAAATCACGGACGTTAAAAGCTCCACATCATGGCGCTTTAACAAGGTCATGGAGATTAGCGCCATAAATTCAGTACTTGTCCAGTGATTGTACATCCTTGGGGGTCCCCTGACCTCCTGGGGAATACACCGATGAAGCTGGCATCAGGCCTTGGTTAGCAGCAGGGCCCTGGTGTTGTTTGTTCTGCAAGGTGGAAGAAGCCTCGTTATACTTGCACAAAGAGCTATAACCGCAGATTGATTTGTACGATGCAGAAGGCGAGGAAATCATACACCAACAGGGGATTTTAGTGATGAGGCATCGTCAACAGCTACAACCGCATGGTCCGATGACTGGTGGAAAAGTAGCAGAGCTATAGACCGATCGATCGGGTTTGTCTGAGTCTCGATGCTCCGAGGATCGACGAACCTGCCAAACAGAAACATCAAAAAGGAAAGGTTACACATAGGCAAAGCCATTTTCTCGCCTCCTTTGCATTGTAAGGACTGTAACGAGTATCAACTTCAGACATTGTGCCATGCCATGGAAGGATAATCAACTGCATCCTTTCTTATATTTCTTACTTACTGTTTTAAAGCAGGCAACTATATATAACGGACTAGATACTATATCATCACAAATAACACATGTAAACAGTCAACAAGCCGGTTAATCCGTCACTAAAATTAAGAGCTATATTTAAACCTCAATCAACTAGCATCTTAGGGACCAAGATGTCAGGAATTGTTCTTCTGGTACATGGTTTGACATCTCAAAATGATATTTTAGAGATAACAGGCTGTGCGAAAGACGTTGCATTAGGTGTTTCAAAAGAAAGATGGTGCATTACGAGCCTTTAGACAACACTGTGAAGTTTCTAATTAAACAATAACGAGAATGTCAACGATTACAGTTTTCAAAGCCATAGATACTGATTCATGCTTGTGTAAGTATAGATAAGATCTTTGTTAGAAACGACATACTTGCGCGAAGTTTCTGCATTCTGCAAATCCTTTACACCCTGGCTATCTCCATTGCTGTTCATCATATTTGGAAAAACTTGCCTATGTTGCGCACTTCGTGCCAATCGGTATAAACCATCTCTAATGCACAATTTGGTTTGCACATCCAGCTGAAGCAGACACGCAAAGTAACTTTAATACTGTGGTACATAGTTTATTAGAACTAGTTTAGTTCCTCTAGGAGGAAGAATGGAAACAGGAACTTTGGTTCTACCAAAACTAAGGTCCCTCCTTTGATCAAATTTATGGTCATTTAGAGAAATCAGAAAGGCCTTTAGAGAAATCAGAAAGGCAAGACCGAAAAAAGGAAAAAAAATGAAGGGGCTGTACTGCTGTAGGCTGGAGTTTCTGATTCATGGGACATTAAAAGAAAAGAAATGGAAGCTAGTAACCCATGATACCTGACTAACAGCATCCTGCAGTTGTCGAAAGCTGCTTTCTTCAACTGAGTTATCAGAGGACACAGATGATACAAATGAACCATCCACTATCATTGAAGTACCCATTGTAACTTGAGGATCCCCCAGAGTTCTTTTTCCTAATCCTCTTCTTTCAGTTTCATAGTTCTCACAAGGATAAGAAGCTCCTCTTGTCAATGTTTGAGGATGTCTGTTCATGACATTATCATTTGTTGGCTGTCTTGGTTGCATGTTCACAGTTTTCTTCTGCGCTGCATTTGTAGAGTTAAATGTCACATCAGCTAATCACACCAGACGAGTACAAGATAAACAAACATGTTCAGAACAACTAGAAAATACCCCATCTGATGTTTCGCTTGTAACATTACCTTTTGAATTCCTTTGTGCAAAAGAACCGCTAGATTGGCCGAACTTTTCTGGATAGGACTCAGAAGTAATGTTGCTTGGTGAACTGGAATCTAAGTGGTGCCTTTGATTCAGGAAATTCCGAGAGGAGCTCAGCTGAGAAGTTGACGCTATAGAGAATTTCTTGTCTTCAATACCTTGAATTGCATTTTCAGATGAATACTGGTTTCCAACCTGCAACTGAGACCATGACATTAAATCAATGAAGAACATGTTGCATAGTGATCTATCATCCTTATGGCACTACCTCTTATGCACTAACCATCCTCAGAAACAAACATTCCAGTGATAAACCCAATACAAAACTGCACAAGCAAGAGAAAATTGTACCAAGGCCTTGGAGCACAAAAATATAGAAATATACTCACTCCATTCCAAAATATAAGTCGTTTCAGATTTTCCAGATAATAGTTTTTACTATATATCTAGACATGGCATATATCTAGGTGCTTAGCTGCATCTAGAAAAGCTAAAATGACTTAGAACTTGGAACCGAGGGATTAACAGTGATAGCAAAACAAGTAGCATGATTGTACTTAACTACCTTTTCATTTCTGTTTTCGAATCACAGTCAGTTGTGATAGAACATTAAATCAACTATATGTCCATTCAAGGGGCTTAGGCCATAAACTAAACCCAAACTAATAAAAAGCCCCCGAGGCATCAAATACAATGATTCAGTGTTGTTTCAATAATTAAATAGCCCTAGGAAATTACCATATCAATGTTTTCATGTCCACTGCATATCTGGTCAGTGGGCAACAACTCCATCACATCCTCTTGGTATATCTATTGTGGACAAAAGAGATACAAGAATTAAAGAAGGTAGAAGATAAAAACTGAGTCAACTAGTACAGAAGGAAAATGGAACAGTTGACTTGCCTGTTCGCCATATGCATTGACATTCTTTTGCTCACTGAACAGGTAGGTATCATTGAATTGATTATCACATAAAGCTGATGAAGGATCAACTGAGGGTAGTGATTTATCTTCTGCACATTGGAATGTTGAGAGATCATCCAGAATACCATAATCTGAATAAGACGAGTCAAACCCTTGCTGCATAGCAACATCAGAAGAGTAAACAGCATCTGAAGAAGGAATCCAAGATAACCCATCTGCATTCTCCAGCTGCTGCTGACCATATGTGGAATCAGACGACCTTTTTTTTTTAAAAAAAAAGAGAAGGAAAAAAGAAATAGAGTTATCACCTGTTTATACAAATTAAGATCTTAGCGAGAGCTAGAAGTTCTGAATACCTGAATAATGTGTCGACATCCTCAAAATTATCAATGCCAGGCCAATCAATGTAGTTTAGATCATTATCACCATAAGTGAGGCTATCCTGCGGAGCACTGTGGTTATTGAGAATGGACGAACCATTGCTCAGTGCAAACTGACAGGAGTTCCAGTTATCTGTTGGACATCTGGTTTCAGCGATTGTATTTTCTTTTCTTGAAGGAAAGGCATTGGAACCATTTTTGCAGTCTCCTATGCAGTCACCAGCACTGTTTATATTCTGGGATACTATCCCGTTCTCACGTTGGATGTCCTCTGAATTACATTTCTGTGAATCTGAGCTATTTGTTCTGGGGATGGGACCTTGGACTTTCTCACTGGCAACTGCATGCTTCAACTTCTTACTACTAGTGACACCAGGATCCTCAACTCCACCTTCATGTTCGTTGCTATTACTGTGGGCAAACTCATCAGTGAATTTACCTTCAAACTGTAAAAGCATTATTAGTCATAGGCCTAGAGCAGAAAAATTTAGCAATCTCTAATGGAATGCGAAGATAAACGAGGGTCCAGAGTACATAACAAAGCACTGTTAGTGGACAAGGTCCAACGCAACAGATGACTGTGACCAGGGTATGATCCATTACAGAGTTCAACATCAAGTTATTTAATGCTACAGTTGTAGCGTGTCAATCAAACATTGAAATTTTAATCACTGGTCAACTTACTTCACCAAAGCAGACACTAGGCACTTTCACGTATGACGGGCTAGCCCACTAAACCCCCACTCATCTATCTGGAGGCAAAACAATTGTGGATCTATTATGGGTGGCAAGCGCACTTCATCAATGAAATAAACACCGACACTTCCATAAGGCAACACAAGGCTTAACCTGCTTAGCTAACTGATGCTGAGTACCAATAAATAAAACTAAGCCATTCAAGCTAACTAAGCAGAGAACAAATTTGAAGCATAACCCAATTAGCTTCAATGCTAGAATATAGAAATATTACTCATTCTTACACTTAGTTGATAGAAATGAGAATAAACAAGCATATTGTACCAAGAATCATAATATACAGTCCCAAATCCTGGCGGGCTAATTTATTAACCTGTACACTTACGCAGATTATATGGAATTGAATAAAATTATCCTCACACACACTGACCAATTGTTCTTCCCGATCTTTCCACTTCGTATCATACACTAAATCTAAGGACACTGGTATTTCTAAATTGTTTCTTTTTTTCCTAAGTTGCAAACAAATACATTCCACATCATTGGTTATAATCTCATGTATCAAATGCAGTGGCTAAAAAAAGTTGTGAGATTGCTATGTCCAGTTGTCCATCAAGAATCTCGTGTATCAAATGCAGTGGCTAAAAAAAGTTTTGAGAAGCTATGTCCAATTGTCCATCAAGAAATTCATGAAACTTTTCGGCAAAAAGGAGGAGGAATTCATGAAACTGAGATTACCTCACGCACCCTCCAATCTGGCATCCCTGCAAATTCTATCCGGGTCCGAAACTATACCAGTCCACCGGATTTGATATCATATTCAACTCAGGATCCCCAGCTCTTGACCAACTCCTACAAACCAGAAGGACAGAAAATGAGATGAATTACTCGAGAAATGAAATAAACTGTAAACTAAACTAAACAATCATATTCCAAGGCAGGTCGCTACAACAGTAATTATTCTAAACAAAACTGCTACAGCCATGTTCAGTTGCCTGCCTGCCTACCTTGGGGTTCAGATCAAACAGTGCGACAAAACATGGAAAACTAGTGATGCATACATCTCACCAAAAGGGCCTAGTAGAACTATTATACAAGAAAGAACAAAGAAAGAGGGGAGTCGAATGGACATGTTCTCACCTTCCGGAATCGAGAGCTGTGGATCAGAACCTGCAGAAGCAAAGAAAATCCACCAGTAGGAAAAAATTCAGCAGACAATAGAAGCAGCTTCACCGAAGATCCAAAAAATGATTTTTTCCCCATTTCAGAAACAGAGAGAATGAAGAATCATCGCAAGGACACCAAACAGCAATCAAACAGAAGGTAGCGAACATAGAACCACCAGAAACAATCACCAGAAAAGAAAGGGGGAAAAAAGAAAACGCCTCCCCAAGAACAGAGGGGAACTCAAAAACTCGCAGCCCCACCACACAAAAGACGCAAGAACAGCACCGTGGGCCACCTCAAAGCCGACGCCCGAATTCGCGTCAAGGAAACGAGCAAAGAAAGAGAGAGAAGAACTCAAGAACGGGATGGATGGATGGATCTTAACCGCTTCTGCTTCGGGAGGACGCCGCTGCCGGCGCAGTAGGCTTGCTCGCTCCGCTCCACGGGCCGCTCGCTGTCTCTAGATGGTTCCTGAGATTACCCCTTTCTTTTCTTTTCTTTTTTTTCTTCTTCTCGCTCTAGCAGCAGGAGGAGTATTTTTTTCGTTTTGTTTTGGCACAGGATGGATGAGAGAGAGACGACGATGAGAGGAGACGGGCGTCTTGAGCAGCGAAATTATCAGAAGGAATATTTTTTTCAGAGAAGGAGGAGAAAAAAAAGAAAAGAAATTGTATGGCTTTGGCGCATATCCGCGGCGGGGTTGTTTACTAACTAGCGGCTGGGAGCGGGCGTAGTGGGCCCCGGGGCGGTGCGGAGGTAGTGGACACGAGGTGCCGGCGCGATCCGATCAGTTGCCGGCGCCCCATTGGCTGGCCCCGTCCGCAACCGCGGGGCCCGCGGGCCAGTGGGAGGGCGGCAGAGGCTTCTGGACTCCGGAGGCCTGGAAGTGGCGCCCGGCACGTGACTGACTCGCGGGGCAAGTTGTCTGCCGTCTGCCGACTTGCCGTGCTCCGCTTGTACTCATCCATTCCCATTCCCATCTCCCAGCCGAAGCAACAGCGACGCCGCTTGGCTTTTGGGTTCGGATTCGGATGGCCGACGTGGAAAACCGTGCAAACCGGGCTGGTTTCCCGGACGGCCGGACCTGCGCCGCGCGGTTTGGGTCCCGCCGTCGTATCTGGCAAGTGGCAGCCCGGCCTGGTTTGTTATTGTTTGGGCCAAAAGGCCGCGTGGAAGGTCAGAAGCCCAGAGCATATCCGCTCCGCTCCGTTTACACTCGGGACCTGTTTGGCGGGGTCTGCCAAATGCTTTTTCAGAGCTATTTTTTTAGTAAAAAATCAAAGGAGTTAGAGCTGTTTTGGAGGAGTTATAAATTAAGGCTCATTTAAAACGGCTCTGGCTTGCTTTGGAGGTGCCACTTAAGAGGAGCCGTGCCAAACACTCCTAGTCTCACAGTCACAGAGCGGTTTTCACATATTTTCATTTTCATTAATATATATGGATAAACCAACCTGTATAAATGCTGATACAAGAGATGCTGAGGTCTGCATTGCGATGGGAAACAAGTACTGTATACATTTTGATTTGTTTTTTTTTCACTCATCCAGACGTCCACTACGAACTCAGAAACCAAATTTGTCCCTGTTTCTCAAAATACTACCTCCAACACGAAAAGAGCGCATTTTGTCATTTTCTAAAAAGTCAACCAATATAAACCCTTACTAAGTTTATAAAAAAACATTTATGTGTCTAAATAAATGCACTATGAAAATATATTACATGATTAAGCTAATGATCATTATTCGGTATCATAAATGTTAGTGTTTTTCCATAGATTTGGTTAGATTGAACATTTGTTGACTTCTTACAAAGCGAAAAAGAGAGGGCATACTAAAGTTAAATCCGCCACTTTGTTAATGAATTTAGATTCTGATAGAATTACTCTTAGTGGTAAAAAGTTTATTTTCCGCATCTTGTTTCAAACTTTTAGTAGACCATGGTAAATGAACTAATATTCATAATTTTCTGACACTTGTTGGATGATATATTGCTCTATGTCAATCAAGAAATAAAAAAACAATGAAAAGACCCATTGGTTATGTGGTGCTATCATGCAACCTTCGATGAGGTCAGCGCAATGGGTTTGCAACTTCGCCCACTTTGCACGTGAGCTCGATCGGACTACTGGTACCATACACCAATTCCTTATTTAACCAAACAAACGCATATCCATTGTACACACAACAAAACGGCACCACACGCCATCCATTGTACACAACAAAACGGCACCAAACGCCATAGGGAATAGGGATAGAGGGTTGTTCCATCGCGCATGTCACAACCAACACAGACCAAACACATACACTCGCCAGCCAGAAGTGAACCAGATCATCTGAAGGACTGGAGATGGGACTCATCGCCTGATCACGAAAACAAGACCGCAGACTGACGGACCAACCACCCGTGCGGCGGCATAGGACAAGATCCATATGCACGCTAGCCCAGCAAGATGCTGCTGTCGCCGCCAGGAGGCTGCCGGGTCCCACGGCCTGCATGATGTCCGGTTGTTGAGGCCTTCCCGTCTGCAAAAATGCTGCCGCCACTCATTCCTTTCGGCTTCGCGCGGTTCAGAGGCTGTTTCTCTGCAGGCGCTGAATCCCTCTCGGAGATGGCCTTGCCATTCAGATCAGTAGACTTGTTGCTGGACCCTTTCTTCTTTGCTGTCTTCATTGTGCTGTCCGTGTCGGCCTCTCCAAATGAGAAGGAGCTCACCTGTTAACAAAGACAACGACAGTTGTTCAGTAGAGTTTGGAACCACCACAAGGTGAATAAGCTACCAGAATGGCTCAGGCAGTACATTTGCGTTTTTCACAGGTGACAGCGCGGCAGAGCTGCCATAGTCTGATCTCCTTGACCTGTTGGGTTTGGGATCTTCATGATCAGCAAAGATGTTGTGACCACTGAGCTCCTTGGATTTCGCAGTGGACACCTGCCGCTTTATCTTACTGCCCCCCTCACTCTCAACGGTATGGCTAAGCTTACGCTGCCTCGCCACCCCAGCAACGGAAGTTGGCTTCCTGGGAGGAATGGTCCCGTCCTGAGAAAAGGTGATCTGGCTAGCCTACACATTATAAAAGCTGATTGTCTCACCATATCACACAGAATGGTATGATCAATTTCCTGTTCTCTCATCAGCAGACAATTTAAAGTGCATAATTAACTATGGATCCACCAAATTATGGCATAGGCAACAAAAAGATATCCAGATGTGAACTGCTGACAAAGAGTTTGTAGTCTGTTACATGAAGTGGCTAATTATAAAGTTGATCATCCTTTCATGAAAAACAATAACCGTAGTTGATCACGAGAATATGATGGTTGGAACTGCAATCACAATATCAGACCTACATTTCCCCCCTCAATCACGATACATAGAACTGAACTATTTATTTATTATAAGAATTAAGAATAACATAAGACTTCCGCTTTACACCAATTTTGGTTCACAAGACTACGTTTTTTACTAGTATTTAAGAACAACACAGAACAGCATAAGAGGTTAATTGAATCTCCAATCGATCAGATGAGTCATGTGGTGACAATGCAGAATCTTTAGGTCCTGTTTAATCGATCAGATTTGCATTTGTTGAATAAAAATATGCTAACAAGGCTTTGAGAACACTGAAAACTCTACTTCTAGTAACCCGAGGCTAAGATCTATAGCATTATTCAACATCGACAAAACCGGATATCTATCCCGCCCACTTTATGCAACAAATCTGATATGCATTCTTCATTGATCCTGTCGACAAGCCACGTGACACAAAAGGAACTATCCCAGCATACACAACGAGTACTCTGTGCAGAAGATCAATGCCAAACAATGTCCCACACCACATAGAATGCAGATCCAAAGTTGTGCACCTGACGATCACGGGAGGCAGTTGCGACGGCGGCGGCGGCGCTCTCGGCCTTGAATATGCCGATCCCTGTTATCTCCTTCGACTTGGGCGCGGAGCCCGCCGTCCTCCTGAAATGATCAGAGCAGGAAGGAGCAGCCGAAATTAGTAAGCAGCCACACATGGGGTCGGGATCATGCATGCGGATACCGATCGCATTGAACGACATGAGATCCGAATCACAGGAGCGGAGAGAGAGGAATCTGGCCATGAAGGCGCGGAAGCTATCTCACATCTTGGTACTGTTGTGGCCGTCGGCCTCCTCGGTGACCTGCCCCCCAAACACCACCTTCCTGAATTCCTCCGTCGGCTACAGTGCGAGCGAGGAATAATAAGAGATCGACGATCACAAGCAGCGAGCCCGCGCGGGGAGAATGGTGGAGGAACAGGGAGAAGGAGAACAGAAGAGCGGGGTCACCTGGTTAGGCCGGCGTGCTGGCAGCGACCCGGCGCCATCGGGGTGAGGCCACGCGAGCAGGCCGGCCGTCGAGGTGTGGGAACTCCTCACGGGGGCCGCCCTCTCCATCTCCCTGCCCCTCTCCTTCCCTCTCTCTCTCTCTCTCTCTCTCTCTCCTATGGAAGGAAGGAAGGGAGTAAGGGACTGGAGATCAAGGCGAATGAATGCGTCGTCCACGGAGGCTCGACTCATGAGGTGGAGGAAGTGGGGGCGGAATGTCGGTAAGCTCTCTCATCAAATTGAAGAAGAAGTGGGTCCCACGTAAATCATGCTGACATTGCAAATATCTCGCCAAACTCAGCATCATTTTCTTGTAAATTATCGGCCTCTTCGCTGGGTCGTATTGGGTTTATAAGCCATGGCTTATCAGCCAACGAATAATATTTTTTCTCACATCAAACCAGCTAATAGTATTTTCAGCCATAGCTTATAAGCTAAATAATTCCAAACGAACAGGACGTATATTTCAGCTCGTTTTTCATAAATATATAGTTTTTGTTGTGTATCTAAATATATATTGTTTAGGTTGATAACAATAAAACTATATATTTAGACAAATCAAAACGACATAAGTACAATTTAGAATCGAGATGACCCGTGCATTCCCACTAGGAGCGTAGAGGTTATGTAGAGCATTGTACTCTAAATATATAAACTTCGAGCTTTAGCATTTTAGTTCGATAACAATAAAACTATTGGTTCACATAGCTTTAGACAAATCAAAACGACATAAGTACAATTTAGAATCGAGATGACCCGTGCATTCCCACTAGGAGCGTAGAGGTTATGTAGAGCATTGGACACTCTATAAGCAACTAAACTGAGTCGAGCTAGCATTTTAGTTCGTTAAGTTCATGAATTAGTCTGAGTTGGTTCACACGCTAGCTTTGATAAACGGTCTAAGTACTTAGTAGTCTAACATCTTAAACCACCAATAATGGAACTAGCTTGAGTATGTTATATGCATGAAATTGGTCTCTAGAAACTGATATACGCTCAGCATTGTATTTATTTTTTGAGGTTAATGCTTGCATGGAACTAACTAAGTACTTCCTCCGTTTCAAATTATAAGTCACTTTGACTTTTTTGTTTCATCTATTTTGCTACGTATGTAGACATATTATTATACTTACATGCATAACAAAATGGATGTATAAAATAGTCAAAGAGACTTATAATAATTTGGAACAGAGGGAGTAGTTCTTGCGTGATCTATGTATTGGTTGTAGCTATTAATGAGTCGGCTTGCAAGCCAAAGCGAGTTGGCTCGCGAGCTAAACAGGCTGAGTGGAGGTAGAATTTTAGCTCGTTTTCTTAATGAGACGAGTTGGTTTATATAGGCCAGTACAAAACTATTATTTCCATGCATGGTAGGATTGTGTGAAGGGCAGTGCAAGCGCCCGGACGTTCGGACAGACGCGCGTGTCCGGACGCCTACGCCTGCACTCCGTTTCGCGCGCCCACATGGGGGCCCGCACCGTCCGAACGCCTCCTGACCCCGCACGGAGACCGCTCGCGCCCCCTCTACTTCCCCCGCTCGGACGCCTGCTGCGGCAGGTGGGTCCCCAACAGCGACACCTGATCTATTTTTGAAACATCCAAATGAAACATTCGCAACATACGTGTGAAGACAAATGAAACACTTGAAACATGCGTCTGAAATACTTGCAAAAACACCTAAATACACTTGAAAAGCCATTGAAAGACATATGCAACATCCAAATAAAACACTTGCAATGTATGAGTGAAACATATGCAACATCCAGATAAACACACTTGTAACATACATTTGAAAAACAGATGAAACATTTGGAGCAGATGCTTGCAACATACGTGTACAACCATTGCAACATATGAAACATTCTAATCTACTTTTGCAACATCTATATGAAACACTTGCAACATACCTTTGAAACATCTGAAACACTCGAAACATACTCTTGCAACATTCACTTTCAAGCACAACATCTACTTGCTGCTTGGACAAATGGAGGTTCGGTGTAGAGCCGACCGCGCACACTAGCAGCATGCCAGAGGGCGGCACTAGCGACGGTGATGTGCCAGCAGATATCCACCCCTGGCGAACGCGTGCAGGAGATGGAGGGAGGCAAGGCAGACGTGGAGGTAGTGTGGCTGGCTGGGTGGAGGGCCACCAGGCACGGCTCACCACGGTTACTGTCCTATGGCCACGACGAGCAGCAAAAAGGGGGCGACGGGGAATTTGCTCGGCGAGCATACACAGGGGGGGACTGCGAGCCTAAGACGACGTTGGTGGAGCTAGGAGTAGAGCGCGAGAGGGCCAGAAGGAAAGGGAGCAATGGTGACTGGGGAGCTCCGGGCTCAGCCAGCCCTGTCCGTGTGTGCGGGCAGCAACCTGAGACGGAGAGAGCGTGACGCGACGAGAGAAGGGAGCGTGAGAGAGAGAGAGAGAGAGAGAGAGGAGCATATATTGGCTCCGCAGGTCCAGTAAGGTTGGCGCTTGTGGTAGGGCGCGGTGGAGAGGGTGGCCGGCGCCGAGTGACGAGCAAGAAATCGGAGCGAGCAATGTCGGGTGAATGAGAGAGGAAAGCGGACGAGTAATACGGATATTTACAAGAGTTCCATGGGTAGAGAGATGTGAGGCTGTTAGGCCGCCATGTTGCGTCCGGAGATTAAAGCCGTCCGGACGGCCTAATCCTATCAATCCGGTTGTGTCAATTTAAGAGTTGGGATGGCATTAGATGAACCGATATGATTCGAATGAAAATCATATCACTACAATTATTGGGTGTTATATATTGTTTTTGACGGATATCACGTATAGCACATTTAACGGCCCCGTTCGCGTGCCCTTAAACCCGATCCGCTTCTTTTTTCATCCGGAACAGTGTTTTTCTCTCACAAATTCCTCTAGAATTCCTCCAAACCATCCAAATTCCTCCAGAACCATACCTTCCGAACGGGGCAACAAAGTTAGAAGGCTAGGCCCGGTTTCTGCAAGCCAGTCTAGGATCGCCTTCTTTTCGAAAATGTTAGATATCAACACTAGTTCTCGGACTATCGAATTGTACAAACGTTTAATCAATAATTTAAAAATAGCACCTTCGACAAATTGTCTCTTTTTGAACGTTGCATTACTTTGCTACTGAAACTTTCATTATTCTCCCTGTTCGTTTGGGCTTTGTTTAACTTATAAACCGTATTTTTTCAGTTAACAAACAATATTTTTCTCTCACACCAAATCAGTCAGCAATACTTTCAGCCATGGCTTATCAGCCAAACAAGCCCTAACGAATAGAGCGATTGTCATTGGAAAACAAATTTATGTCCTTGACTTAATAGAACGGAGCACTAAGACTGTCATGCTTTTTCAGTAAATTTAACTACAGCAAAACATCACAAATAGAATAATAATCATCTTGATGATATGAACATTTATCGGGTGATGTACAGCATATATCCGTCGATTGTAAACTGATTGCACGCAAGGCGTATCGTGCATCTTTTCTGGATGCAAAATAGCCAACGTTTGGTAGATACACTGTTGCTAGTAATTTGATGGTGCAAGACGTAAGCTCGGTTCAGACTCAAGTTATTATTTGTAAAAAAACATATCAACCGTACACACTACACACTGACATGAGAATGGCATGGGTATCTCACAACCAAACCAAACATGCACACACCAACAGTTAAACTAGATCATCATCAGGACTAAAACGGGGCTCTTCACTGCCGAATCATGATCAAGAACAAGACACCAAACCGACGATCGATCCAACAGCCTGCCTGGTCGAAATCCTCCTATAGGGGTCGACACGGAGTCCCAGACTAAGACAGGGTCCATCACCGTTCCAGGATATGCTAAATCAGAGCGATGCTGCTCTCACCGCCAGGAGGCTTGCGGATTCCACCTACACACGCTCACGGATTGGTTCCTTCCCATCTGCAAAAATGTTGCTTCCAGTAATCTCCTTCAGCTTTGCGGTGCTCAGATGCTTCTCTGCAGAAGCTGGTGGCGCATCTCCCTTGAAAATGTCATTGCCGGTGAGGTCGTTGACCTTCTTGCCAGTTATCTTCTTTGCTGTCTTCGGCGCACTGTCAGCGTTGGCCTCTCCAAACGAGAAGGTGCTCACCAGTTGTTTAAGACAACATTAGTTGAATAACATTCTGAACAGGAAAAGGCAAATGGAGTACAAGATATGTTGCATCTGCAATCCGTTTGTATTTTTGGCAGGTGTGTGTGAGGCTGTGCTGCCATTATGATTTGTGATCTACTAATCTTATACATTATTAAGTTCAGAAATGTGAGGCGAGTGTATAGAGAAAGGCTGTCAGCACCAGAACATAAGATGTGAACAGCAAAGCAACCCATAGGTCCAAATAGCATAGGAATGTACCTGTAAACAACTCCAATATTTGGAGTCAATGCTTGAATCTTTTGCACCTACAGGTTAAGAATTGGAGGGCCTTTTAATGCATTTACGAGAAGCACAAATTATGCGATTTGACTGAGAGAGAAAGCAAAAGATAATGATGATGTTACACATACAGATGTTTCATCCACTAAAATAGACGGCAATTTCTTCTCAGTGGCAATAACAACTCCATTAGAAGCTGTAATAAAGAGACAAAAGGTAGTGAAATGGTTACAAACTGCCAGATCCCAGGTATAAATACAGAGTAGCAATATCTGAAAGAGCACATATACTATCAATAAACTCATAATAATGTAATAGCTTACTATATCAGCAGAAGCAATTATGTCAGAAATACAAGTCAAATAGTAGTTCCATTCAGCAATTTGAGTTCAGACACAAATTGATAGAGAGTGACATATCCAAATATTGAACTTGCTTCCAGAACACAGCTGCTGAGTGGCAGCAATAAGAAGAGACCATCAGTATGATGGATAATTGGATATGAACGACAACAAAAATAAATGAAGGAACGAACAAAAAAATATGACCAAGATTTGGAATTTGAACAAACCCCTTCCAAGGGACCATGCCACCATCTTATCACTAGGGAAGGTATTATTCTGTGTATACTTATAATTATGATGATACAAAAACAATGCTAGCTTACGTGCAATATACAGTCCCCAATGACTCCAGGATAATGAAAGGTCCAACTTTATGAGATTTATTAGCTTCAGTGCATTTCCTAGGCATTGAACTGACTCCTGAACCACTTGGGATTTTGCACTCGTATGTCAATCTGCAGTGCGCATTATAGAAGCACATAGCCAGAACCACACAGAAAGCATAAAAAGGCATGGTGATCATCAAAACCAAAACAACCAGTCACAATTTCTATTAGACAGACAGGGCTTAGTTAAGGAGATAGCACTTGTCTCCGCGAAATCCACTGATATTGTGCAGCCTAACAGCGCCCATGGTATATCTTGAGGTAAGAGAGGAAGCAAATTAAGACTACGTGCAGTCTCAGATTGGGCACGCGCTACCAGTGCCACCAGGGAATCACAAATTCACCACAATGGACACCAACGCCCATAGCCATCTCAAACCTCGGAGAGCCCACACGTTATGAATCAAATGTAAAATTTCAAGATGCTAAGAAATAAACCAGCCTAACCAGATTAGAGCGGCGTGGACACTCGGTTACACTTAGCCAAACCCTAATCCCCGAATTCCAGGCACACACAGAAACCCGCAGCGGCAGCCCCAAACCCTCGTCCGCGACTCCGCATTGGCCCTAACACTGACGAAAGAGAGTAGGAAAGGGATTAGTGCAGGGGATAGGGATCGCACCTTTGATCCCCAAGGAGGTCTGGCCGGAGCCCACCGCCGTCAGGGCGTGCTCGATCTGCACCAGCTTCCCCGACGGGCTGCAAGGCACCAAGACCCATTTAAAGTCAGCTTGACGCCAGTCTACGCAGAGAGAGAGCGAGAGAGAGTTGAGTTGGGACCTGAAGGTGGTAAGAGAGAAGAGTACTGGCTGTCCCCACAGCCGAGCTCGACTTTTACCAAACACACCACTCATTCCATGGTTTGCATCGTGCACAGGAAAAAAAAAAGTCCGGACCGAATTTAAGCTTCTCCAACAACGAACACCTCCGACTCTCCGCTCCTCGCCGCGCCGCCCTCCAACGGCGTCCTCCTCAACCTCTCCGACGGCCTCCACCGCCACCACCCCTCCCCCCTCCCTTCCCCACGCGTGGGTTGCTGCTGCTGCTGCTGCCACCTTCTCCTCCCCACAAATCTCTCCTCCGTCGCCGACTCCGGCCGCGAATCCACCCCAGATCGGTGCGGGCGCGCCGCTTGATGTCCGATCTGTGAGAGGGGCTCGCCACCATGAGGACCTTGCTGCTGCTGGCGCTGTTCCTGGCCGCTTGCGCCGTGGCGAGGAGGGGCGCGAGGCACGTGTTCTCCTCGGGCTCGAGGTCCACGAGCGGGAGGAGATTCCACTCCACCTCGCCTGCGGAAAGCACCGGGCGGCCGGACGCCGTCACGGACGCTGACGGGAGCCAGTCGGCTGCGGCGGCGGACATGGCGACGGTGCTGCAGCGCGCCTCCCTCATCTCGCGCCTGTGAGCGGGCAAGGCACTCCGCCATGGTGGCCCTCCCCAGATCCGAGGTGGCGGTGGGGACGCGGAGTGGATCTGGGGCGGCGATGCGGAGCCCCACTCGATGTTGAGCCGGCTCCGGTCGTCCCCTTCCTCGTGATTCCTCGTGGTGGCGGGCAAAGATGGACGGAGGACGCTTTTTTCTCTTCCGCGTCGCATCCGACCCAAAATGGGTGCTATATTTGCCTACTCGGTTGCAGCCAATGTTTTTACTAAACGGTAAACGGTTTTTATATGATCATCCTTGATTTAGTGTTTAGGCTATTTATATGGTGTTTAAATGAAGTTAAATGATTTTATATTTTAAAAAAATACATATAATTATATATATGCATGTAAAAAATCAAACATTCTAGCATTTATACATATTTATCCGAGTAAAAATTAATTATTTTGATATATATATATATTTATGCATGTGATAAGAATCAAATATAGATATTTATGCATGTAACATATCAAGAGTACACATTTATAAATATAATAAACTTAAATATATAAATTTATCCATATAAAACTGAACTATATTTACTTCGTGTTCGCCTAAACAACCGTTTAAACAGCTGTTTAGCCCGTTTAATGTTGTTTATCTCCGTTCTGTTTAGACCGTTTTTCCTGTTTTTTTACCGTTTAAATAGTCAACCGTTTAATTTTCGTTTACCCCCTAAACAAAATAGTTTACCACCGTTTACCGTTTAAATGGTCGTTTAATCTGTTTAGGCGAACACTGGTTATAGCCTGTTTTTTCGCCGCTAAAATACTGTGCACGACGTATTTTTTTGGAATGAGTTACGTTGTTGGAGACCGTCTTAGTTTCCTCTCTTTGGGGGAAGAAAGAGTTGGGCGAATTTGTAGCCAATTTGTCGTGGGATTGGGAACTGAAGTGGGGAGGGATTTGCGGGCCCTATCCGCCATTACCACTCTGCGCCAAGCTCGCGCCTTACATTTTTATTTTTTAGCCTTTTTTTTTTCACAAATATGTCCTCTCTATTTCAAAATCTGGACCTTTACCTCGGCCCCATCATTGCTGGCGCCGAGCTTGCACTACTCGACGCCATCGTTGCTAGCGCCGAGCTCTTGGGCTCGACGTTGACGTGACGGTGATTTGGCAGGCAGCTCGACGTCGTGGATCTTGGCCGAAGTTATTACCGTTATTCGGGCGCCAAGCTCGCCCTTACGTATATGGCCGCAATCTTTTCTCTCTTCCTCTCTCTCTCGCGTGCCTGCACCGCCAAATTCAGCCTGAGCCCACCGTCACATCCGCCCTCGCCTCGCCACCGCCCTTCCATCGCCCTCGGTCATGACCCACCCTCACCGCTGGCCGCCCACTCCAGGCTCACCCACCCGGCCCCACCACACCGCCCTCGCCCTCATCGGCGCCACCCACCACATGCCAGCGCCCTCTCGCCTTCACCATTCTACCATTGCCTACGCCACCACCGCCCCTGGCCTGCCTCGGCTCCTCGTGCTTGCCGCCTTGCGCCTTAAGCTCACCACATTGACCTATAAGCGCCACCTCGTCGTGCGCCACCGTCGTCGGACAGGTAAAAATTGTGAATTTGCAATGTTCATACTTAGTTAGCTTTGATTGTAATGTAGTAGTTTTGATATTTGTTATTTACTAGTTAATGTGATGACTCAGGTAGTTGATTTAGTTAGTGATCTAGTGAGATAGATATGTAGATAGATAGAAACATAGATACATAGCTACAAAGATATAGTTAGATAGCTACTTAGATAGGTAGTTATATATTTAGTTAACTAAATATGATCTAGCTATTTAGTGAGTACACTATATATATATGTAGTTATTATCTTATTTACTTAGTTTGTAGTTAGAAAGTACTTATTAGGTACTATCTATCGTCTAATTTGGACTAAAGGACATGTGTTTCATTACGTGTTTAAAATAGATGGACAACCTCGTGACCATATATCATGGAGGCACCGTTGAAAGCAATCGCTATGGATATGTTGAGTTTGTTGACATGCAAAGCGTGCCTGTGCTATTCAATGATAGGCCTTCATTTAGTGAGATGGTTGTAAGGGCTCGAGAGGAGCTGCATTGCCTTGGAGATGATGATGATGGCATTACAGTTGATGGTGTACTGCACCTAGGTTCTCCTCTCAACATCCTTAGGCGAATGATCTCAATTGGATGTGTGGATCAGTGGGAGAACTATGTGAGATCGGCTATGAAGAGCCAGCTGCAATGTTTGGACGTGGTTGTGCATCGGGTGTTAGTTGATCCCATCCCTCATGGGTTTCTCCATCAATGATTCAGCAGGCACACTTCGACCCTCCCGTTCCTAGAACCTGATATGGATATGGAGGTTACACCTACGGTTCCCAATACTCAATTTGCCCCTAATGAGGTAGTTGGAGATGCTTGTCAGATTCATGTTGTTGTGGTAGATCCTCCTCATGAGATCTCTTTGACATAGAATCATCCGAGTAAGTGTCTTATCATTATGGTTATTGGGAGCTTACCCCCTTCCTTACATCCATTTCTTTCATTCTTTCCTCATTTCTCTACTTATGTTGCAGGAGACATTCCTGACAATGTGGATGTGCCCCCTGTTGCTGCGCAAGTGCACTGTGGAGATGGATTCCGTGGCTCCAATAGTGTTGAAATTATGAATGATTCAGAGCCATATGAGATGGCAAGGGCTCTTAATTCTGATGATGATCGCCCTGTTGGAGAGCTGACAGAGAGTGATGTTGAGATGTTGAGATGTTGAGGGCTCCAATAGACTTGACGAGTTCAGCGATCTTGCTCATTCTAATCAGGCGTGTGTAGAAGGACATGATGATGAGCTCCTAGAAGCTTCTGAGGCCGGCCCTAACATGGTAATTGAGAATGGGAGGGTATTCAAGGACCTCCCTGCATTGAAGATGTGGTTGCAGGCGTTTGCAGTGATACGAAAGAGACCTTACAAGGTCTTACATTCATATGCGGAGCGCTATTACATAGTTGTGTGTGACAAGGAACGCTACCCATGAAGGGTTTGTGCAAGGAAGCAAAAGGTCACCAAAAAGTGGAAGATCACAAAAGTTGTCGGGCCACACAATTGTGCTGACCATGTGCTGACACTGAGGCATCAGCAGTTGACATCTACCCTCATTGTCAAGCGGTTGATGGGAATATTGTAGGGAGAACCCAACATGAAGGTTAGGACAATTATCAGGACCGTTGAGGCATTGTATGGAGGTTATGTGATAACTTATGGTAAAGCTCGGAGGGCTAAGCAGCGAGCGTGGAAGATGATATATGAGGACTGGGAGGATGGATATGAGCAGCTGCCAGTACTTTTCAATGCAATCAAAGCGATGAATCCAGACATGCATTATGAGTATATCCTAAAACCAAATGCATGGAAGGATGGGAGACAGATATTCTTTCGTGCTTTCTAGTGCTTCCCTCAGTGCGTCGAGGCCTTTAGGCACTGTCGTCCCATCTTCCCCATTGATGGTACGTTCTTGATTGGCAAATACCAGGGCACACTTCTTATAGCAATATCCTGTGACGCGAACAACAAGTTGGTTCCTTTGGCATTTGCTTTGGTTGAGAAGGAGAACAATGACAGTTGGGGATGGTTCTTGAGGCTAGTCTAGATACATGTGGTTGGGCCTGACAGGGAGGTTGGCGTCATATCTGATAGGCATCAGGACATACTTAATGCCGTGCAAGAGCAGATAGAGGGGTATGCACATTTGCACCATCATTGGTGTACTTGGCACCTTGCCGAGAATCTACTCTGGAAGGATGCTGTGAAGGATAACTTTGATCTGTTCTAGGAGGGTGCTCGATAGCTTGAGGACAAGGACTTTCAAAAAAAGTTGGAGCAGGTCAAAACCGCATCAAATGCAGAAGGTAGACAATGGCTCACAGTTTTGATGAGGGATTTGGAGAAATGGACAAGAGCTCACGACGCCTATGGATGGAGGTATGAGTTTCAGTGCAGCAACATGGCGGAGTCATTCAATAAGTTGCTATTGGAGATACGTGGTATGCCCGTCAATGCAATCGTTCAATTCACCTTCTACAAGCTTGTTTCCTGGTTCAACGATAGACACGCCCATACATTGAAGTTGCGGAGTGATGGAGAGATATGAGCTCTGAAACCAAAGGCACATCTAGAGAAGGCAAATAAAAGGGCTGGCACACATGAGGTTACATGCTTTGACCACGCCACAGGGACTTATCAGGTCGAGCATAGGGGTGGTACAACATCCACCGGTGAGGTTCGAGAGTCGAGGATGCATGTGGTTATCCTCCAATATTTCAAATGCACTTGTGGTAAATCAAGGCAGTACCACTTTCTATGTTCCCATTTGGTGGCAGCAGCTAGGCATCGCAACTATAATATCGAGAGCAGGATACCTCATGAGTTCAGTGTCGACACGCTTGTGCACATATGGAGCCCCCACTTCGTGCCTTTTCGGGGCCCTAGAGAGTGGCCTCCATATGATGGGCCAAAGTACATTGCGGATCTAGCTTACCGTTATAACAAGCGTGGATCAAGGAAGAGGACGAGGCACAGGATGGTTATGGATCAGATACCCGGAAGAACGAGGCGTGGGAGAGGAACCCCATTTCTTACTGACCCTGAGCAGTACGAGTGCGGCAAGTATGGTAGACTTGGTCACAATTCACGCAGTTGCCATTGGCAAATTAGTGAGGTGCGACTATTGGTTGTTTTCATTATTTCATATTTGTCGTATTCATTTAATTAATTATGCATGTCTCAATTTATGCATGTAATTGTGTCAATTACTTATACATTTCTAAGTTCATGTTTTATTGTATATTGAATTTCAAATTCATTAACTTTTTTTGTAGGATGGCACAATTCCACCTGCTTGACCCGACGTACGAGACGACCCACCGAGGATGTCTCATAGCGGAGGGGCAGGTAATAAGCTATACGTTTTGTTCAAATTTTTGTGAGCGTACATGTGTTTCGTGAAGTAACAGAAGACTATATT